GATTCGTATCAGCATGTGTGATAGCAACCTTGAAATTTTCTAGCTCAAATCTCTTCAGAAGCTCTAGTTCATACTTCATCTGATGTAAAACGATTCCTTTCTCAGAGTACATAAATTCCATCCTTAGAAAGAAACTTATTTTCCCAAGATCTGTCATCTCGAACGCATTCATCAGAACTTTCTTGAACCCAATTATCTCTTGTTCAGAACTTCCTGTAAGTAATATGTCATCAACATACAAATAGACCAGAATCATATTACCTTCTGAAGTATGGTGAACATAAACACCATACTCCATCTCACACTTCTAAAACCTTTGTTCCTTGAAAAATGAATCAATCTTCAAATTCTAAGCTCTGGGCGCTTGCTTCAATCCATACAAGGCTTTGTGTAATTTGAACACCATCCCTTCCTGATTCTTTTTCTCAAATCCAGAAAGTTGGGATACGTATACCTCTTCTTGCAATTGACCATTCAGAAATGCAGATTTTGCATCTAAATGCATCAGAGGCCAATTCCTGTCAGCAGCTATTGCAATCACTAGTTTGATTATTTCATGTCTTGCTACAGGTGCAAACACTTCAAAATAATCCAGCCCAGGCTTCTGTAGAAAGCCTCTTGCTACTAATCTTGCTTTGTGTTTTCCAATTGATCCATCTAGCTTTAGCTTCTGCTTGAAAACCCATCTAACACTGATGGCTTTCTTGCCTTTTGGAAGTTTTGTCAGCTTCCAAGTCTTGTTTCTCTCTATAGCATCAAGTTCTTCTTTCATGGTTTGTAACCAAACTTGCTGCTTAAGAGCCTCTTCTGTACTCACGTGTTTAAAGTCTACTAACATTTCACACTGAATAACTTCTCCTTCAGAGTCTACTTCAGTGTCTTGCAACATGTCAAACTCTGCAAATCTTCTTAGGATGCTTCTGACTCTTTGTTGCCTCTGAACTGGATCTTCAGAACTTTGGACACCAGAACTTTCCCCTTCAGAAGCACTTGCTTCAGAAATTGAACTTTCTCTAGAACCTTGACTGTCTTCAGAGTCTGGATCATCATCGGAGTTAGAGTCAGAATCATCTTCTCCTTCTGTATCTTCTTCAGAGTCATAGTCTTTACCAGCTTCAGAAACATGTGTTTCTGACTTTTCTTCAGGAGTTATCTCATCAGAGTCATGACAAGACAATTCCCAATTCCAAACTTCTAATTCCTTTACAATAACGTCTCTGTTGAACTCAACTTTGTTAGTTTCTAGACAATAAAGTTTGTACGAACCTATACTGTGGTACCCCACCAGCAACATCACTTTACTTCTATCATCTAACTTCTATCTTCTGGCTTCTGGGACATGTTTGTAACATACAGAACCAAACACCTTCAGATGACTAACACTTTGCTTATCTCCGGTCCACTTATGACTAGGAATTATTTCCTTCAATTTCTTTGTTGGACATCTGTTGAGCACATAACATGCAGTTGCAATAACTTCTCCCCACAAAGTATGAGGAAGCTTCTTCTCTTTCAGCATGCTTCTCACCATATCAAGCAAAGTACGATTTCTTTTTTCAGCAAGACCATTGTGTTAAGGAGTATAGGGAGCAGTAACCTCATGCTCAATTCCATTCTCCTCATAGAAACTTCTGAATTCTGTGGAGTTATACTCACCACCACCATCAGTTCTAAGAATCTTCAGAGTCTTGCCACTCTGATTCTCATCCATTAGTATGAACTTCTTGAATTCAGCAAACACCTCGTGTTTAAACTTTATGAGAGATACCCATATCATTCTGGTGAACTCATCAACAAATGACACAAAATATGTATTCCCTTCAGTTGATGCTACTGGAAAAGGACCGCACACATCAGAATGCACTACTCCCAAGGCATGTTTTGCTCTTGGAACTACTTCTGATGCAAATGGTAATCTTGGTTGCTTCCCTTCCATGCACACCTTGCATGACTTTTTAGGCTTCTTAATTGTAGGAATTCCATGTACCCGATTCTTTGATTTCAGATGCCCTAAACTTCTGAAATTCAGATGACCAAATCTTCTGTGCCACAGCTCACTCTCCTTGACAACACTTCTTGCACTAAGACATTCAGAGTCTCCAGTTCTAACATTCACCTTGAATGTTCTGTTCCTTCCGTGTTCTGACTCCATAATCAACTTATGATTACAGTCATACAACTTCAGAAGATTGTCCTTCATGGTAACTGAAAAACCTTTCTCAATCAGTTGTCCCACACTCATCAGATTGCTTTTCATGCCAGGTACATACCATACATTCTGAATCACTGCTGTTTTCCCATTGTTTAGAATGATTCTGACATTTGCCATACCTTCTGCATTGAGGTATTTATCATCAGCACATCTGATCTTTGTACTCTTCCCAGAGTCAAAATCAACCAACCATTTCTTATTTCCAGTAAGGTGGTTTAAACACCCTGTGTCCATATACCATCATTCTGATGCATTCAGATCACCAGGTTCAGAAGCCAACAATAGCACATGTTCATCATCTGACTCTCCTTTGACTATATTTGCTTCTTCTGACTTTCTTTCTTTGTTTGACCAATAATCTTTGGCATAATGACCAAAGTTCTTGCAACAGTAACACTGAATATTCTTCTTGTCAGACTTCTCCTTTCCCTTCTGGACATTCTTCTTCCTATAAGAGTTTGAATCTTCTGACCTTTGACCACCCTTAGTTTTCTTTCTAGCTTCTGACCAAGTCTGCTTCTGATACTTCTTACCAGAAGTTGCTTTCAGAGCTTGCTGCTCTACTTTCCTCTCAGAAGTTCTCGCAGTCATACGCAACTCATGCGCTTCTAGATTACTTTGCAGCTCTTCAACTCTCATGGTGCTCAGATCTTTGGAATGTTCAATTGCTACCACAATGTAATCAAACTGAGAAGTTAAAGATATCAAGATCTTCTCAATAATTATTTGTTCAAACAAAGTTTCTCCACAAGCTTTCATCTCATTAGTGATCAGAATCACTTTAGAGATATATTCAGAAACCTTCTCGTTGTCCTTCATGTTGAGATTCTCATATTGCTTTCTGAGAGACTGAAGCTTCACGTTCTTCACTGATGCGTCACCACTGTAACATCTGACCAGTGTGTCCCATGCAGCCTTTGCTGTTTCAGAATCAACAATCTTCTTAAACACATTTGCATCCACACATTGATGGATGTAGAACAATGCCTTCTGATCATTCTTCCTTAGCGTCTTATGTGTTATCTTCTGTGCCTTTGTTGCGTCTGCTTCTAACAGATCATAGCCATCGATGACAAGATCTAACACATCTTGAGAACCAAATAACACGCGCATCTGGATTTTCCAACGGTTCCAGTTTTTGCCATCAAATACTAGAAGCTTGGAATGAATATCGCCGCCGTTTCCGTTCATCTTCTACCTTTGGGAAATTTATCCAGAGTTTCCCAAATCAATGTTTCTCAAAACCTCCAGAATCAAACTATTGTAATTCTTAATCACAATACTTCTTTTCTCCGTGAATTTTGAACCGGAACTCTAAATACCAATTGTTGGTGTACAAAGAAGAGATAAAAGGAAAAGAAATATATTTAATGACGACTACAAAATAAGGAATAATGATTTACAATGAATTACATTGAGCTATCTCACTAGGCTATTTATACACAAAAATTAAATCTAAAATATAACTTCAAACAAAGATATAAAAAGATCTAAGATATATATCTTCTAACAAAGATATAAACAATCTAAAAGATATTTTTAAATACAAATTAATTCTAACAAAATCAATAATCCAATAACGCAATAGTTTGAAGGAATCGATAATCAATTTGAATTTTAAAACATTGATTGAAAGAAAAATTTGAAGGATTTTGAAAATATTAAACAAAATTTATATTATTATAGTGTTTAAAAGATTAAAAAATATTAATAATAAACACTTTTTTATAATTCTATACAAACAAAATATTTTTTTAAATAAAAATTATTCCTTCTTCTCCCTTCCAAACTCCCCTAAACAAAGGATAAGTATATAGTATTACCTTACTAACTTTACAAAAACATTGAAATAAAAAGTGAACATAACTAACTAAATAAAGTGGGAACAAAATTGAAAAACAAATCAATGTAATGACAAAAAAGAAATTGTACTGGGTGTGTGAGTGTATGACACTGCAAATTCCGACCGTTGGTATACTTTTTTCAATTCATGCACGCTCCTATCCATAACCCAAACACCCACCCACCCACCTCCACATGGTGACATGGGTTACATTACTTTATCATACATCAACCATATCTTTATAATCTTGGATTCACTCAAAATATTAAATAAAAAATAAAAAAGAGTTGAATCCGACCCGTTATTATTGGGGCAAGGTTATGGGTTGGGCCATGATATGACATACACGTGGGAGAATATGATTGGTTGGGACTCAAGAAGAAGTTAAAGAAAGTGAGAAAGAGAAGTAGAAAGAACTCAAAGAAGAATATTTATGGTGCTACTCTCCTTGTGAGTCCCTTGAGTGGACGCTACTCCACCACTGTTTCAGAGCACACAACAAACAAACCAATTCAATCAAGTACTTTCTATCTCCCTTCTTCCTTTTCTCATTCATTTTACGCAACAATGTGCCTATTTTAATCTCCGAACCTTCCTTCTTTCTTTTCTTGTTTAGATTTTAGTTTCTGTTACTAATCTAGTAGAATGAGTGTCAAATGACGAAAACACCCTCCTTCTTTGAAGTTATGTTTTTGTGTGTAAATAACCGAGCTACTATTGGTCTCTTTATCGGTGCGTTATATCTTAGGGTTTTTGACTCTTTATGCAAAATTCAAGAAATTCAAAACGTGTGACTGAAACTTTTGATTCTGCTAGTGAAGTTGTAGTTTTTGCAATTTTTATATGGGAATTTCATGTTTCTTGTTTTGTTGTTTCTATTGTGATTTTTTTGTTTGTTTTATATATAGGATATTAGGGTTAAGTAAGAAAAGAATGAAGGAGAAAATGGCTGGAATGAACAAGAATCAACAATCAAATTGGTGGTGGCTTGATACTAACACTAATACCAAACGTTCCCCTTGGCTTCAATCCACTCTATCTGGTATGCGCTTTTGTTTTTTTTTACTTCTAAGAATCACTTTTTTTTAATGGCTTATATATGTATTCGATTATTATGCTTTGATTGCATGAAGAATTTTGTTGCTGGAGTTACCCCTGTAATGATTCATAAAAATTGAAATGTGTATTGTTTGGATTGTCTGGTTTTTGGTTGAGCAAAAGACCACCAATGTCCCTAAATATGTGAATGCTGGGTTTCCCGATTTTGGACATAGCCGTTTTATCAAAATCAGACGGTTTTAGTTCAAGTTCGGTAACTTCAATAGTAAAATTCAGATTTTTTTGGGTAGTAAGATCTTGATCGAACGGCTACCAATGTCCCTAAATATATGAATGCGAGAGAACCCGATTTTAAACATAGTTGTTTTATTAAAATCGGACTGTCTTAGTTCGAGTTCGCTAATTTCAATTGTAAAATTTAGATTTTTTTCGGAAGTTGGATCTTGATTGAATGGCTACCAATGTGTCAAACGGGTGAATGCGGGTTCTCGACAGCAGAGAATCTGAGTTAGATTTGGATTCTATCTTTGTTTTTTACACTTTAATGATTTGACCCAGATTGATCCGTTGGCTATCTTCATAAATTGTTTAAGCTTTGTACCTGCAGACAAAATTTATTGTGTTAATAGAAAAAGTAGAATACTGGTCCTACAAAAAGGTTATGATTTGTTTGAGTGTTGCTTTTAATGTTCTTTTTCTTTTCTGACCTTTTGTCCTATGAATATAGCCGTTGGACACCTTTATCTGGTTTAGTTGACTTGGTGCATGTTTGGTTCTAGGTTGTCTCAATTGATTTTATATAATTATTTTGGTTTTAAAAAAAGTGAGTAAAATGTTAAATTATTTGTCTGTCCTGCTTAAAAATAATATTATTAAGGGAAAACATAGATAATATTGGTGGATGATTTCTGCTTCATGTTTATTGCAGACCTAAATGAGAAGACGGATGCAATGTTAAAGTTAATAGAAGAAGACGCAGATTCCTTTGCTAAACGCGCAGAGATGTATTACAAGAAACGACCCGAGCTTATAAGCATGGTTGAAGATTTTTATCGGACACACCGCTCGTTAGCTGAGCGGTATGATCAAGTCAAACCCGACACAGGAATCAGCCACCTCATGCCAGGAGGATCACCTTTTGCTTCGGCTAAGTATCAGATAGAGAAACTGATTAGTTTTGCAGATACCGGTTATGATACCTATTCGGAGAATTTCGATGTAGACGAGTCTGTGGAGTCTGAAGTTGATGATCCCGAGCAAGAAGAAAAAGAGGAGACCAAATTTAGTTACACAAAAGAAGAGCGAGTTTCGTCTGTGGCTGTCGCTGTCGCTGTCAACGACGAAGTAATGAATCTAAAAAACGAGATTAAGAGAATAAAGGAAGAGAATGAGATTCGTAAGGAGCAGTTGAAACAGAAAGATACTGTTTGTGATGAAGTAATGAAGTTGAGGGAAGAAATAGAAAAACTAAGGGAAGAGAATGAGGAACAAAAGGAACAACTGAAGCAAAAAGATGAACAGAAGATAGAGGTGATTAAACAACTGAGTTTAGCAGTAGATTTGTTGAAGCAAGACAATGTGAGCATGAGAAGCTTCATTGCTAACGAGTCCACTAAGAAATGGAAATTTCCATTTGAGTTCAACAAATTTGGTGGAGCATTTTCTGTGAAATTGTTTAATGGGACTCAAAGGAATCAGCCTAGTGTTGAGCTCTCTACAAGACGCGGTTAACATAGTCGTCGTCAACAATAGCTTAGTTATGCATAACATTCTTATTCTTATAGATACTATACAATAAGTTCCTAGTCTTTTGATTCTTAGGTTGTGTGAGTTATAATGTTATTTGTATTTTTATTTTTTACATGTGCTCTTTACTTTGTAGTTATATGTATCCCAATTTTTCAATTTTTTAATTTTATGCATTGTAGCCCACCTCAAATGTTTTCACCTTGTTTATGTATATATTACATTAATGTGACGGGGGCAATTCCCCTGCGTTTGTTCATTGGCATTTTAGAAACTTTTGAACATAATGCCACAACATTAGGACAAGACATATTCTTTATATTGAAAATTGAATTTTTATATTGAAAACGAACTTTTAGGATCTGCAAGGTATGTTACAATACATGCTTAAAAAATTTCATGATTAGGTTGGACTTAAATAAGGGAACTTTTTTTTAAAATAATAAGGTATTCAAAAAAAATTCACATATAATTATGTTTCGGAGAAAATTATGTAAATAATCATGTTTTAGAAAAGACTAACAAAGAGGAGTCAAATGAGATGACGCATCCACTTAAAATTGGCCTTAGGCACCATCCCACATAGCGTATGCAGTACCTTCAAGTCATGTGAAGTGGCACATGCACTCTCTTTTAGGAGGCGTCATCTCATATGACTCCTCCTTATATATGTGTTTTCTATAAATAAGATATCTCTTTCTCCACCATTCTTCATACTTCCTCACTATCTCTTCTCATTTCCTCCAGAATTTTTTCACCATGACATTTGAGGTAATTTTCACAAGAGATGGCTATGTTTTTTTCTCGGCTATCAAATCACCGATTAGAATGAAATTTTAGCACATTCATTCCATGAAGCATCTTAAGAGAGATTTGAAGCGCTGGTTGATCGAGACTTTATGAGTCTGTCAGGATACTAACTGCAAGTATACAGTTCAGTCGTTCTAGTTTTAAAAGATTATCGAACCCACAGAGACTGTGTATCAATCGCATACGATCTAATGCTACAGTTTTGTCTAACTAAGCGATGAATATTCGATATTTGGGGGAGACAGTTTAGTTTTAAAAGTAATAGTACTAATTATATCGGTATGTGATAATCGGACTTAGGGAATTCGATGAATCGCTTGGCCTATAAAGTATTTCGGTAAAAGCTAATCGTTTAAAAACCTGAGACATACACTCTCGTGTTTATGAAATAAGTCATGCTACTAAACCTAGTGGATGCACTTTAAATTTAATAACACTTTTTGAAAACAATTTGAATTTAATTAATTTATTAAAACACTCTCGTGTATTTAAAAATCAATGCTTCGTTACCACTATCTGAGTTGAACCCCAGCTCTCGCATGCAGGTTCTTGCCTTAATTAATTTCCCACTCTCGTGGCAAAATCGTGTTAATTAACCTCTCACTCTCGTGACAAGGATAGTTAAATTAATATTGGAAATTGGAAACCAGAAATTGTTTTATAAATATTTTTGGCCAAGGTATCATTGAATTCTTTCAGTTCTTACGGTCACATACCGGTATTAATAATTTAGCCAGACATAATTAACTTAACAGCAATAAAATTTAAAATATAATTCATGGCAATAAATGGCATATTATAGAAACTAAATAAATAATAATTGCAATATAAAAAACCTGGAATTAAAGATGCTATAGTAATCTTGAGGTAATACAGTAGTCCAATCTTCGAGCTTGACTTGCAGTAGAAATTCGTGTTAATTCTTGAAAGAAGAATTAACACTTAAAAATAGAAACTAAGGCTTGAATGAAAATTACAAGGAAATGAAAAGCAGAATTCCAAAACAAACAAATTGGAAATAACTAAAATAAAATAAATCTTTGCTCTGAGTAAAATTCTTCGATCCTTGGACTGTGCCTTGGTACTCATATATATAGCAGGAAAAATCAGCAGTTTAATTTGAATTCTTGATGAAGTCTTCGTGGAGAATTGTAGGAGCAATAATAGTAGTGGCAATAAAATAGGAGATTCAGTAGAAACAGGGAGAACTAGTCTGCCCTTCACGCCCACGTCTTCAAGCCATGCGTAACGTCCTCCTTCACGCGCGTGACGGTCGTCACAGGTGGGTGACGGTCGTCACACGCTGAAGTGGTGCCTTACGCTCGTCAGATGAGTGTGACGAGCGTTTCCTTATGTTGAGGGGTGTTACGCCCGTCACAGGGATGTGACGACCGTCACCTATCCAGAAGTCCCAACTTTGTATTTTTTTATTCTTTTTCTCTTTGTTTTTCGTCTAGCCTTCTTCATTATGTCCTTTTTCATTGGTTTGAGTCGACAAGTGTTATACCTGCAAAAAGACAAATAATCTTAGAATAATCGGGGGTTAGACGACTTAATGAAATATAAAATCGGTAAAAAACATGTTAATTATACGATATGTTTTCTCGTTATCAAATTCCCCCATACTTAAACCTTTGTTTGTCCTCAAGCAAATAGTCATTCGAAAGGTCGGACAAGTTTTCGTCAAGCGCATAAGCATGACATACCTTGGATTTTTAAAGTGGTTTCGGGAAATCCTCGTTGGTTCGGCCAATACTTGAGTAAAACACTAAAGATACGCTAATGACGCAAGCAATAAGCTTACTCGTAGACTTCCATTTTAAACAAGCTATCCAACAGTTCCATTATAACTCTGCCCAGAGTTCCTCGTATCTATTTCACCCGGTTTCGTTCTGGTGCAATCACATTAAGCCCTTTGCCTTAGCACGCACGTAGTGGAGTAACCGGTTAGTGACTTTGATCCTTTAGCACGGGGTCTGGTACATGAATGTGGCAACCCTACATATTTTATCCAAATTGGAGGTTGTGGGGGATCGGGCCGTAGCACGCCCTACCGAGTTCAGAACCAGATACCTCTGAACCAACCAACACTGGATTCCTTCATTATTTGCTCGACTCTTATATGTGTCCGTATATTCTGGTACACAAGTTTTCTTTTCTTTTAGCAGCGAGATAGGAAGGATAATTTTTTTTTTTTTAGAATCAGGCATCAAACACTTATATTCATCAATTCTCCACGTGGTTTGTGTCAAGACGGTGCTGACTGCTAGTATAAACTACTAGGGGTTACTTCTAGGACTTGAAACTCCAGATATCAGTATAATGGTTATTGAAATGGATCGCGTAAGTAGGAAGTCTACGGTGACAGAACCGTATCGATCTTGTTATGTCGTTTTCGGCTTCCTCAACTGGGATTTCGTTAAAATAGGTATGTCGGGCTAATGCGAAAATAAAATTTTTTCGGTATGGCAAAGTAAAGCGAAGAATTTGAATCGAGACATATCGGAAGAATTTACTAGTTTTATTAAGGATTGAAAGGTACCTCTCCCACACAAAATCTGACATTATCCTCAATGTTGCGGTATATATGCGGGGAAGTACAATTACAAAAGGAAAAAAATGAAACAAATTACAAAGAAATTAAAGAAAGACAAACTACTGGTGACCACGTCCTCTGCTCCTGGTGCGAGAGCGTCTGGTAGGAGTGGCTTCAGCGTCGGTGTCTTGGAAGCCATAGGTGTTCATATCTATCCTCAAGGCATTAAGCTCTGACAGCGCCTCATCCAACCTCTCATTCATGTTTCGCTGCCCAGTCAAGATCTGAGCGTTTTGGGCGCACAGAGACTCAAACTGCTCAGCTTGCCTCCTTTCAAGCGCCGCATTCATTTGATTTTGCATGTGGAGGGAGCGGAGGATGTCTTCAAGATTGATAGGAGGAGGTGCAGATGAGGATCCAGGGATGTCGGATAGGCGGAGCACTATCCAACTCTTCTTGTATGTCGTCTGCGGCGGCCGCAGCTTGGTCTTCGTGAGCAGGTGCGGGCTCTGCGGAAACTTCAGGGTCGAACAACCAGTTGGCTCGGTTACTTGGATCGATTCGGTCCCTGTTCGGCAAAATAATATTCTGATAGACAATATTCCTGATTACGGGGTGGAATCTGCCGTCTTCCCGCTCGTAGATGAGGTGTGCGGCTTTGCAGTGATCCAAGGTTAGCAAAGCCGGTGCCATAGAAGGCAAGGTTGCAAGAGCAGCACCGTAATTCAGACCAATGGAAATTGAAGTAACCAGCCCTCCAAAATAGAAAGGTTTTCCACCTCTAGCACAAATAGAGTGGATGTGAGCAAGTAGGAACGGGGCGACATTTATCTTTTGCCCAGTGAACGCACAATGTAGAAAGAAGAGCTCCTTGGAGTTGAGCTTATGGTTGCTGTCGTGGGCGAAGATGGTGTTACTAAGAATGCGATGGAAGTAGCGGATGGCCGGATTGTGGATGTGGGTGGCGTTGAGGTGGTCGTAGGATCCGACACGGATGTTCGTTAAACTGTGCCACAAGTTGAAAGCCTCCTCACCAAAACTATCCGGTACCCGAAAATGAGCACCTTCGTCCGAACAAAATCCCATAAGCCTCGCGATGTCGGATTGAGGCAACTGATGCTCAACGCCGAACATGCGAAATTTTGCCACGCCTGATAGTTGGTTTGTGACACCCGGCGGAGTGAGGTAAGCAAACGAACTCAAGAACTCAAGAGTAAGAGTTTCGTAGATTGGCCTTGGTTCGCAACAGAGGTTCCACAAATCCACGCTTTGTAATAATCGGCGGACACTGTCGAGTAGTCCCAAACTCCGTAGGCAATCGATGTCAACGTACCTTGTGGATTGGAGACCTCGACGTTGGAATTTTTGATACTTTTCTCGTTGATTCTCCCCAGGTTCGCCGATTCTGAAATTGATAACTTGAGCGTTTTGGTTGTTTGCCATGGTGGAGGTAGGATTTGATTTGGGAATGTGAGAATGGGAGGTTGTAAGGATGTTAATTTGGTGTTGAGAGTTTAGGAATTGGAAGAAAAATGGAGTGAAATGGTGATTTTTCGTGTGGTGTGGTGATAATGGAGGAAGGAAAAATGGGTTTATAAGGAGGAAATTTGGAACGGTTCTCTGCAACAGCCGTTGAGGT